ACACACACACACACCCATCGTCACAGGGGGTGACCACAGTGTTCTGCCTTAATTTGTGGCGTTTTTCTAAGAACTGGCTGCCATGTACTGTGCGAAATCAATCGATCTGGCAAGAATAAAATGTGGACATCCCTCTTCTAAGAATTCCAATTGAGTGTGTTAGTGTGGCCAGCTCAGGGCAATATGATATTATAAACACAAGCACATATCACGTCTCTGCTGTTTATAGCTTCAGAGCAAAGAAAACACGCCATTCATAACAGCTTGAACGAGGAAATCGCTCGCAAGAGCAACAGGAACTTTGCTGCAAGACAGGCATATGTAACGATCACTTAGCGCAGCTAAACTCCTGTCGTCGTTCTCGTTGTTCTCCTGACAACAGGCCAGCGAAAAATCTAACAATCTACAGCAAAACCATCAAATATTATGGGCGTTATAATGTAGGTGTGCAGCTGGACGAAACATACACGTCAAACCCCCCCAGACGATTTAAATACCTGACGAAACATACACGTCAAACCACGCTGAACGGTTAAGCCTGAGAGTGAACTTCTTCTCTATCCAATATGATTACTGGCAACTGCCATTCACTTGTGCTTGAGACACAGTCTTCATAAGCAAGTTAACAGTTTACTGGCACACATATGGACTCCTGTCTTCCTGGTTCTATCATCATATAACTAGGATGGAAAGTAGAGTGAGAAAATTTCTGCAGTGTCCAGAGTAGTAGGAGTGCAAGCATCAGCAAGTACACAGGCCATGACATCAACTGCACTATGTAAATTAAGCCACATAGTGGCCCCAACGCATGGCTACATCTATGGAGAAGCAAAGGTCAATTACACATGATCGTGATTTCATCAGATACAGAAAAAAATTGCTTCACTATTTCAGCTGTTTCTATAGGAAGCACTTGGCCTGGCTTTTCATTTAAGCTTGACAGCTACTAATTTCTTGGCAGTCCAGACCATATAATTTGAGGCTTCAAACTCCTGATGAGTTTCCTTAATTCACCAGCTCTTTCAAAGAACTGTCACAATCTGAATCTTTTCACTCTTTTCTCTTGTTATGCGACATTTTTTCCTTCACCTGACCTGTCACTACTACCAGAGTCTTGATTTTAAAACTGCTTCATTTCCCAAACTTCTGGGCAAATTTGCAGTAGTTTTCCTATGTATATCACAGATTTTTTAATATTTCTGATAACTAGGAAACTTATTCATCACCAAGTTCAACATAGATTTCAGGTATGTCTTGGAACTTGCACTTAAAGGGATTACAGCACTGTTTTAAACCTTAAAGTTCTTTAACATTTGTAGCACTTGCAGCCGCTTTAAACTTGGCAAACATAAAAATTAATTTTGCATCTGACCAAGTACTATAGAATTTTCCATTCATTGAAATGCAACTTAACCCTACTGGCATCAGGCACAAACTGAAAGGCTAATTGAGTCATGATGCCCTGAAGCATTTCTGTACATGTCACAACATAACTCATGCCTATCAGACCACTAGCAGCCAGAAAATAAGATCTGCTTATCACTTTCATGTCCCAACATGATACTTTCCAAAGATGTATTGAAAAAAGCAGTAAGTGTTGCGGAAAAAAAAACTTTTGGAAATCTGACTACATTTTTTCATAAACTAAGGCCAAAGGGCAAGGTCAAAATGTTAATGCATCTTAAAATACTGTGAGTGCTTACCAACTGAAAGCCCCATTAAAGAGTGTTCAATTAGTACAAGGATAAATTTCCTATCTTAATTAGGGCCACACACAACAACAAAAAAATTTATGGAAAACTGAAAATTTCAAAATGCTGTATCTCCATGATTAATGAACACAGAAGGTAACATTCCATACATGTAATTTCCCAAGAGGATCCACTACATTTGCAAAATTTTACTGGAATCTTCAATTCTATTCCTTTCTATAGGCTAACAGTGACTGTTTCTGGATACATCACTCCACTCTTCAGTATCATAATTCACTTTGTCCTTACAAGCAAGCAACTAAACCAAGCTAAACCAATTCTCTAACAATAGTACCTGTAAGTTAAACATTGCCAATACCAATGCCCACATATGCACACAATTATAAGTCAACTAATTTAAGTTCAAATTCTCAAAACTTACTTTCTTAACAGCCATTTTAATTTTATCATCCTACGTCCTTGTCAACTAAGATAATGTATGGCACTTCTTTGTTACCTAAGTTACAAACCAAACTTAAACAAAAATCTTGACCAGGACTGTCAATATCATATTCTCTGTTGTAATACTCACCTCTTCAGGTGTTAGCACTTTGCCATCTTCATCTAAACGGTATGTTTTGCACAGCACCAATCTGCTATACACTGAATTGAAATCTCTTTCTACTTCTTTGGTAGCTGCCTCTTCAATGAACAACCATGGATGACAAGGACCTCCTGCAGAGATAAAGGACTGTGTTCAAATAAAATTAGGCTCTACAGTAATGAATCAATTGAGTCCCATATGACGTACAACGATGCAATGGATTCCTCCACATAGAAGAAATGATTAGAAATCGTATTTTGTAGTGTCTTAAAAAGCCCAGATGATCTAACAGACATTCCACTCTAAAGTAATGTATGGTATAGTCTGTTATCCAGACTGTCTTCTTTCAGGCAGCCATATTTTTCTTCCTTTTCTTTCAAAAATCAATCTTAAGAGATCCTTTCTGAAAATATGTGCAGTGGAACTTCTATAATTTGAGAATAAATACAATTCCTAAAATTTCTCAATGTAATGCATACTCATAGAAACTGGTTAAAGTACATAACTACCAGCCCATCCCCTAACTTCTGACTGCATATAATACAATGAAGTTCAAATGATAATATGTGGTCTGACAATAAAGTTCGCGAACTCATCACGGTGAAAGTGCTGAATATCACTGTGGTTACCTTTAAGTACTACCCTTGGGAAGCTATGCACAGAATTCATCATTTCAGCACCTAGTCCACCCTTTAAAACAATTTTGGAACTGGTTTTGTGGAATGGCCTTCAGAGCTGCCATCATATTACTCCTGATGTCATCAATATGCCTCCCTTTCAATATTTCCTTTATCTTCAGGAACAGAAAAAAGTCATTGGGGGCTACATCCAGTGAACAGTGAGGGTGATCCAGCACAGTTATTTGTTTACTAACTGAAAACTCCCTCACAGACAGTGTCATGCGAATAGGTGCATTGTCGTGATGCAAGATCCACGAGTTGTTGGCAAAAAATTCGGGTCGTTTCCATCTAACTTTTTCATGCAGCCTTTTCAGTACTTCCAAATAGTAAACTTGGTATGCCAACATCATAAAACCATAATGAGGTTTCTGTCCACTGCTGCCACAGCAAGCACACAGTGGTGAGTTTGCAAACACTACTGTCAGACCTTGTATGGATACAGCACATTTCATCTTCTTTGAAGTGATTATGACAGGGATATCAGATTAATGAAGAATAATTCAGCATCCTCATCCTTCTTGGCATTATGTGAAGAATTGGGGATTTTCTTGAACTTACATAACTTCTAACCACAACAAAGTGCTAATTAGGAGTGGTCCTTTACAAGAGAAACTCCCATCTACCATTCCCTGCATGCCCACAAGCATATAGTACTCATGTTCTGCCCACAAGTCCCATCCACAGTCCACCATAATGTGACACATGTGCATACATGTGAGAATAAACACATCATCTTGTACAGAACTTGACTAACAGACATCACATATGAAACAGTTTGAGTCACACCAATAATTACGTATGTACAATATGTATGTTATGGGTTGTTCAAAACACCACTCTTTGAATACATGCAACTTTTTTGGACATTCCACATGCAATCAATGGGTATGAATCAGCCATTATACATCACTGTAAAAGCCTGTTATGGCAGTGGCATATAAATTGTACATAAAGGCATAATTGTTCATTTCCTCTGTCAAATGACATGTTACCACACTGATAATGAAAATAATCCCCTTCTTAAGAAGCCTGGACAGGGTCCACAACATCTGTAGTTCCCATGCCTATGAGAGGTCTCATCTCATTATGTTTGTCACACAGTCAAAAACTTGGAACATGAAATGAATTTCACTAATATGTACTCACAAAGGGAAGGGACAGTGCTTCTTTACTTAGGTTTAATATGTACCATACTTTCTTTTGGTTTTTCAACCCCATAAACAATGTTAAAGACGTTAATCCATACTGACTTCATATGTATTATTTAAAGTTTTGTATTCAAGGCTGAGCTCTTATTTTATTGCTATAAGTATTGTTTTTCAAAATTCTGCAGTCAGCACCTACTGAAACACACACAATTTTTCATAGGGGACAAAACTTTTTTTTTTTTATTGTTAGTGGGGTGGGACTAGGTCTCTTGTGCTGCGGCCACTTCTGGCCTATTGTACTAGCCCCAGATGATAGGGGAGGGTGATTGTGGAGCAATTGGTGGAATGAAGATTGGCAGCGGAAACTGAAGTACTTGGAGAAAATCTGCCCCAGCGCCACTTTGTCCGCCACAAATCCCACTTGACCAGACCCGGAATTGAACCCGGGCTGCCACGGTGGGAAGCCAGCGACTAACTGCTTGAGCTATTGTGTAACCCTCAAATCTGGTAGTGCCAGGAATTGATCCCGGGACCTCTGGATCTGTGGCCAGGAACTCTGACCACTAAACCACAGAGGCAGTCAGGACAAAACCTTAAACATACACCTGTGTAGTTGTATCCTGTGATATCTTTCCACATAGGACAGAGAAAGAGGAAACCTGTGTGACAAGGAGGGGAAGATATTGCATGATACAATGAACATCACGTGAGGGATACTTCTCAGTGGTTAAAGATTAAGAGATGACAAGATGCTAACAGATTCTGGAATGCAACTTTTTTCCTAGTCAATGGTAGGGCAGAGACAGTCAGTTCACAGTATTTTCATGGGCTGCTAGTCATCAATAACTTTGAAAGCTAGACTGTAAGTACAGTTGGTGCAAGAGGTTAAGGAAAAAAGTGGTAGCTAGTTAAGAAACACTAGTATGATGAATGTGCCAGAACAGAACCATTGTGTTATGTGATTGCTTTCAATACATGAACATTGCAAAACTGACAATTACAGTGACCTTTTTTCACTACATTGAAGTCCTCTTTACAGGTCATACTCATTCTATCACGGCTGCATTCTATTTTTATTGCAATGGTGCTTTCTAATACTCAAACATAGTACCAATGTGAGAATAACTGTAAATGCTGAATTGTATATTTCTTTTTGGGGTCACATTTGAAATTCAGGCTCCCAGTAGTTAGTTTACTGGAGCTGTCATATATAAGGACATGCTTTAATTAACTTGCTGCTGCTATAAGAATATACAGCCGATCACAGTGGCTGCACACTCTAAGGCAGGAACTGTCTTTGTCTGCTCGAACACTGGGATCATGAGTTCGAATCACACTTCAGGCATGGATGTCTGTGTGCATTTATTCTGTTTGTGTTGTTCTGTGTTTAGGTAGCGGCCTTGCGACTCACTGATACCCTGTCCAAGGAGTTGTACTGTGTACAGGAAAACTGAAAAAGCGGCCAAGGTCCAAAGGGCTGTAGAGCCATAGAGAGAGAGAGAGAGAGAGAGAGCAATAAGAATATATTGTCACATGTTGGGTGTATAATGCGACAAATAATTTCACGCCGTATTGGATATAGCGAATTTATTGCACATTAGCTCTCCACACTTATACAATTTACAGTTACACACAGGGCTTGAGGTGGGACGGGATGGCATCCCGGTTATTTTCTAAATGGCTTTAAAGCATCCCGTTACTTCTTTGGCAGTAAATGCAACGTATAATACCTTTTTTGTTGTTGTTGTTATCTGTTTCATGGTTGTACAGGCTACTCCCTTGCGTCGTCTAACTAAATTTTGCTTTCGTGTGGTACTGTTTGAAGCACCCGAGAATGCACAGTCCCACATCACATTTCTTGCACTTCATCTGAACACGTTTCCTCTTTACACGTGCAGAACAAACATGGCATTTCATTCTCATGGCACAAGAGGTCGGCCAGTGATGTCGATTGGCCTCCTCTAGATGAAATATTGTGGATTACAGAGCAGGAGGTCAACCTAATGGGTGTTGTGGTTGGGAGTGACACATTACACCATGTTCCAGCATGTTGCGCATAAGGGTAAGACGAAAGTCCTTATGGGGCAGTTTCGCACCACAGGATGATAGCAGGATGAAACTGTTCAGAATCGTCAGATCCAGTAAATGGAAGACGCTTGTTTGCAGCAATAAGGGGTTTTCAAAGAAAGTAGGGGGCAGGCAATTTTCCTTTGTATCAACTTCCGCCAAATACCCTGAATAAGCTGAGAAACTTGTGTAGATAGAAATATATAGGCTTATGGCCAGCACACTTTTGTGGCATGGGGTTTCTGCTAACAAGCCCAAGTGTTACAAACAGGAAAGATTTTATACTGCAGAACTGTTACAAACAGGAAAGATTTTATACTGCGGAACTGTTGTGTGTAGGAGCGGAAAAATTTTATACTGCAGAACTGCTGTGTGAAGAATTTTTTTAGTTAATTCCATTCATTTATCATAAAAATTGTATTAGACGGAGCAATTCCAAATACAACGCTCAAGCGCTCTAAGTAGAACTGGCATTTAAACGTGCAGCAGAAACGTGGATTTAAACCCCTGCAAGCAGTGGGCATTTAAATAAGCCCCGGTCAGCTAGCTTTACCTGCGTTTTAAAACTCCGGCGGTTAAAGGTTAAGGAAAGATTCATTTTCATATTCTTAAGACCGATAATAAATTATACAATGTCAGAAACAGTTTGTCCTTCTCTTGCCTTGCATCCCATCCCATCCCATCCCAATGCGGAGGTGGCCTGTCTCCAACAGAACAGTTGTTTACAACAAAATTTTAAGTTTTTCTATTGTTGTCACATCTGAATTCTTAGTTATTTTATTAAAAATTAAAACACAATATCTTGGCAGAAAATGAGGTACACATTTCCTACTCCCTCCTACTTCATTGGACAGAAATAAATTTGGTGTTGAAATAGCATAGTCGGCAAACTACAAATACAGTTATGACGGGTACAGGCTGTATTCTCACATCTGGTAATACATATATAAACTTGTAGAATAATGCGAGAACCCATCCCATTTAAGCAATGGGTCAGACGTTTACAGTAAATAATCACAAAAGTTTCTATTGTTGATGACACGATCTAGCCGTAAGGACACACATATTTTATTCTATTCCAACCAATGGGAATTTAGCCAGAAATTTTAGTGGTGGGTGGGGATCCTTGGGTTGATCCTTGCTTCAATGACAGAAACTGTACAAAATGTTATTTTAGTTCAGCATCAGTTTTCATTTATCGGTGAAAATGGAGAAATGGATAATTCGCAGTAAGAAACCCAAATTAAGCGAAAGTGGCAGTAATGAACCGTGTGCAACTGTAAGTAAAAGTGAAACAATTGTAAGTTCCATCCACTGCAATGAAGACGAAACCACCGTATGTGTGAATACAGCTGCAATAGATAACAGTGTGACTCAAAATCAGGTGCATGAAAATGACGTTAATTATTTCCCTAATTACTGGACACAAGATCAATGGCTAGAAAAATTGAAAATATACGAGTGGTTGACAATTAGTAAACAAGGGCTAGGCTGTACAACATGTAAATCAGTGGGAACTCTAGGGCCTGCAAAAACACAAGGTTTGAAATTATCTAGTGAGTGGTGTGAAGGTAGGGTCAAGGAATATGGTGAAACAAAAGAGAAGAAACAACAGTCGATTAGGAAGAAACTGTCTTGTCATAAACTATCGGCAGCTCATGTTAAAGCTAGTGACATTTTATGCCTTGCTAAAAAAGAAACAATTGAATGTCTGAATGTTAAAACACAAGAAAAACAATACGTTACAACTTGTCGCATATTTAGGACAGCTTATCAAATAGCGAAAGTGAACCGTCCCATGACAGATTTAGCAGCTTTGATTGATTTACAAGAACTAAATGGTTTAGCTATGGGGCGTATCTTGCAGTCTAATCATGCGTGCACTGATATTTGTGATCATATAGCAGATGAAATGAGAAAGAAACTTGTTAAATATATTATTGATAATGATCTTAAGATAGGTTTCATGATCGATGAGACTTCTACTTGAAGTAAAAAAGAAGCTCTTGTAATCTGTTTACGTTGCAAACTGCCTGATTCCATGGATGCGAGTAGTTATTTTTTTGATATAGTGGAATTAGAAAATACTACATCTGCAACGATCAGGGACGACTTTCTCAACAATTTCAAGAGTAACGGATTTCACAGTGACTTTTTATCACAAAATTGGATTTCATTTGTTTGTGATGGGGCCTCTAATTTACTTGGAAGGCATGCAGGTGTTGCACAACTTTTGCTCCAAATGTATCCTCAATTGATTGTTTGGCACTGTAGTAATCATCGATTAGAAATAGCGGTGAATGATACAGTATGGGAAATGTCAACAGTGTGCCACATGCAATCATTTTTTGATAAACTCTATTCTGTTTACAGCGTGTCTCCAAAGAACAAATCTGAATTGGAAACGGTTGCTGCACAACTGAGTATGAGATTAAATACCATAGGACGAGTGTTAGGAACGACACGTTGGGTATCGTCTAGTGCGCGGTCTGTGAGAGCCATATGGATAATTACCCTGCTCTTTATAAGCATTTTCACAATGCGTCTGTAGACCCAAAACGCATGGGAAGGGAGAGAGCTCAATATTCTGTATTGAAAAGAAAACTAAGCGATGTAAACTTTGTTCTAAATATGGGACTTCTGTTCGATGCTTTAACAGAAGTTGAACACCTGTCTTTAAAATTACAAGAAAAGAAAATCACATTGCCTGAAGCACATCATTTAGTTCTTGTTAAGTATCACGTCTTTCAGTACACGGCAAATAATCCAGGTGAATATTATTCTGAAGTTCTAACGGCTGCTGATAAATTAGAATTTAAGGGAGTTAGCTTAGAACATGGAGAAGTGCAGAAGATTAGTGAACAACAATTCTTTCAGAAATTAAGTGACAATATAAACACCCTAATGTTCACCACTAGAGCTTCACACGAATCCACTGGAAGTAGTAACACAACATGGTCAAACAGGGACAGTCAGTTACTGGACAACTTGAAAATAATGGATAAGGCTAAGTGGGTAAAATGTCAAGATCTATGTTTTGCTGATAAAGAGATTAGGTTACTCGCTGAGTCATTTATGGTGTGTAAGAAAACTTCAGTTCATGGATTCCATGAATATTACATGAATATAATGAATGGTGATGACATGTATCCTGATGAACTAAAGCCGTTGATTGCAGCTGCAAATACTATTATTATTTCAACTGCAGAGTGTGAGCGTGCATTCAGCAACATGAACAACATTATTTCAACCATCCGAAGCTCGGTGCTTTTAAAAACAGCATCTAGTTTAATGTTTATTTCATCAGTGGGACCCCCTCTTAGTGCTTTCGATGCAGAATATTATGTAAAACAATGGCTAAAGAAAGGAAGCCAACATGCAGATTACCAGTCTTGTGCAGCCCCCACAGATAGAAGATCAGTGACTTCAGAAAGCAATGAAAACATCTGGAAAATATTCTAAAGTACTCGTAATGCATGTGTGACTTCATTTTAACACATGCCATTTAAACTACTCTAATATGTTCGTAGGTCTTAGATGGAACACAGACTATATACATCACTCGGTATATTTTCATAATTTATGTCTATGAATTAAAAGGGGAAAACCATCCCGGTTCTATTTTCATTCCACCTCAAGCACTGGTTATACAATCTTAATTTTATACAATTCACTATCTCAATTGCTGTTCAACTGCATTTTGGCAAATCCATTCAACTGTCTCTGGCGGTGGCTACATTTTCACTGACTCCTTAGGCAGTGTGGTTCTCTTATAAACCCTCAGCCAGACAATGGGAAAACGCCTCGCTTCCTTGCTGCCTAGTCGCCATGTTTACAGGTGTTGCTGGGCAACGATGTCGAGAGTTGTTTACTGCTGCATAGCAACCGCGGCATCCCCCACTACGTCACCGTAGGGGAGGGGGGGCAGAGTGTTGATTGGCCCATTAGCGTAGTAGCGACAGCGCCCGATGTTGTTATGTTACCGCTGACGGGGGAGGGTATGTTCTCCATAGCGCAATAGATCACAATATTATGGTTAGTGAAGAGAAATCTGTTTGACTGTACAATATTCTCCCATATTAAACCTAGACTTAACTGTGCTTTTGAATAAAACTAAATTGGTCACTGTAAAAGTCTCAAAATAACAACTATTTTTATTTTTATGAACCTCTTTAGGGGAAAAAAATTTGTGAACATCCAAAAAGTTGTAACATATAAAAATTCACTTTTTTTTTCATTGGCGCTACAGCCCTCATTTGGGCCTAGGAATACCTCCATGAAACTCTTCGTATCACTTCGGTTTACTAGATCTTAGACATACGGTAGGACTCCTTGGGCGGTGATCAGCTCGTTGCAAGGCCTCTACCTGTACACAAACACAGAAAAATGCACACAAACATTCATGCCCTGAGTGGGATTCGAACCCACGATCCCGGCTTCTGAACGAGCGAAGACAGTGCATGCCTTAGACCAATCGGCTACCATGACCGGCAAAAAATTCACTTAGACAAGGGAAACTATTATAATAAACATGAACGCATTTAATTTATAATAGTTGGGTTTCATTTCAAACATCTAAAATAGGGTAGACAAGATGTGTTTTTTAAAAGTTTGGTAGAGAGAGCATTTCTGTATTAACTACAGATCTGTCAACCCTTTAGACCAAATTCGGGTTTGATTTAGACCAGTAACATGTGTCTACACTCCAATACCAAAGAGACCAAAGTGACTGACTGAACAGGATTCTTACGATTCTGGGATGTAAAAAGTAAAGTACAGGTATCCCTGCAACAGGCCATGGAGGCCCATAGGGTTGTCAGATATTGAGGTTCCCACATTTTTTAGACAATCGGCTCATAGATGGCGGCAAGACTGTCAGCCTTATGCGCTGGCCGCCCTTTACCCCTAAGAATATTCCTGGTACTCATTTCTGTTAGAGGCTGAGTCAACCCCAGGGCCATAGTGCGGCTGGAAGGATTAGGTCAACTGAAAAAATCCAATGACCTCATCGGGACTTGAACCCGCGACCTTTGAGCTTGTAGCATAGTGCCTCAACCAACTACGCTACCGCGTGCTGGGATTCGGATTCGGTAAACAGCTCTCTCTCACAGTTAAATCTCAATAGTTCAGATGAAGAGATCTAAGCTGAAGAACTCACCAAGAAAATTTGGCCTCTTCATGCCATGCTCAAGCACCTGCTTTATGGCTGGACAAAGAGTTCCCCTCACTAAATCCGTAACAGCCTCAGACACACTGTCATCCCCAGCACATGAATACTGCTTACTGCGTTCATCCAGCAACTCGACAAACTTGGCAGGAAACCAACCTGTATACAGATACATGCATACATAAATACACACACCACTTTCCTTCATACATTATAAACGATTACTCCATTTTAATAATATACTTCGCCTAATTTATCTATACATTTATTTCTTTAACTATTGTATTTTGTAAGATTAAATTATAAATTTGTGGAATTGTGTAAATCATCACGCGCTGTATTACGCTATGGGCTATACATTAAGTGGGGTATGATGTAATTACCACATGACTTCTTAAGAAGCTGATAACTCAGGGGCTCTCCCTTTGTTCAGTAAAACATGATGCAAGTTTCGTACGTAGTTAGCGCGGTACTTCCCAGCGTATAGCCAATCACTAGCTATTAAATGACATCATGCTTATAGCCAGCGGCATCATACACTCTTCCCTTTGTTCGAAACAAAGCTTAGGTCTCGAAATGTTAACGACACACAATCATGTCATTCCCCAAAAAAAGGGAACAAAAAACTGTATACAGCCATCATATTTGTTACTAACAATGTAAATAATTAAAATGTAATAAAGTGTGTTTGTGAGTTGTTTCTGGGTTTTGTTGACTGCCTTGTTGGAGCCAAGGACCACTTAATGACCCTGTGATTGTATCATGTTCTCTACTGAGAGGGGCCCAAGATATACTACAGAACATCAGGATCATTCAACCACGACAGTTAAAGTTGAGGCTATGTCTCCACCTGCTTCTCTGGAGTCGCTATAAGGCGATTCACAGCAAGCAGCTGCGGCCAACTTATCCCCATACGTGGCTGGAGAATTCCGCAAAACGACTATAACGAAACAAAATTAGGCTTTTGTAACAACTACTGTATGTTAATAATTTAAAAACTCGGGTATATAATAGTGTAATGTTTATCATTAATTGGAGTATTTACTGACCCCATCATACATAATGACTTATGCTCTTGAAGTGGTCAGTCCTTGTCCACTTGTTATTTCACCATAATGCCACTGCTCAATCACTGTCTCTCTCTCCTTTTTTTTACACTATATGAGGGGGGACCCAAAAATAACCGGAAACGACCTGTTGCGCGCGCATGCTTTGTAGTTACGAGTTGTGCTGCTAGGTGGTGTTAGCTGGGGGTCTCCCGCGACTGTTAGTGAGCTGGCGTCAGTCTGAGTTAAGTGGTTTGTCTGTGGTGCTCTGTTGTGTGCGTTCCTGTTTCAACCCTTTGGCGATTAGTGAGATGGCCGACCAGAAGGAACAAAGAGTGTGCGTGAAATTTTGCTTTCTGTTAGGGAAAACTGCACTTCACTCTTCAAGTCGC